CTCAGGGGACTTTGCAAGATGCAGGCTAGAGCCCCGGAGCAAGCGCGGGCGGCCTTGGTTTGTGCGAGGCTGCCATCGTGTGGCAACTGCAGGCATTGCTTCCGGAACCCAGGAGCGCTTGCCTGAGCGGATTGGTTTCTGTTCTCATTGAGTCTTGGTGTTTTTTGTTTGTTTGTTTGTTTTTGTTTTGTTTTTCGAGACAAGGTTTCTCCGTAGCTTTTGGTTCCTGTCCCGGAACTAGCTCTTGTAGACCAGGCTGGCCTCGAACTCACAGAGATCCGCCGAGACCTGCTGACAACTAATGTTTAGAGGAAAACGAGACTCAAATGTTGCTGCTATCCGCTTCTGACTTCTCCAGGACACCTCCCAAGCCTTCGCTGGCGGGGGGCGGGGGGGGGGGGACAGAGACGCCTAAGGATTCTTATCAGTGAAAGCAATTGGCAGGTTCTAAAAAGCAGCCTCCGGCAAGGCGCTGGCGTCCCACCACCATCTTGTAAGATGTCACTTGTACCTTATCCTTGCTCCAGGTTGGACTACGTGTTTAGAGCTCCCGAAGCCCTGTGTGTGCAGGGTACCAGCCTAACACCAAGCAGATGCTCAGCTAACAGCAGCTTACCTGAAGTCCTCTGAGAAGATGGCACCCAGAAGTGGCCTGAGTCCCAGAGCTCGGGAGAAAACTGCCTAGGGGTTCAGGAGACCCAAGGCAAAGCTATGCCACCTCGGGAAGAGCGGTCACAAGCAGAATAGCCAAATGAGAAGACGGAAACCCGCAAGTAACAAGTAACTTCATGGTCGCTATGGGGGATGGGAAGGGGAGGGGCGCACACGGGCATTAGTTGGTACCAACTGGGTCACAGGCAGGACTTAAGCCGGTAAAGGCCACCACCAGCTCAGTTCCTGTGGCCCACACGGCCAGGAGTGTGAGCCCAGGAACGACAACGGAGGTGTGACCAGCCGTGAGGCAAGAAGGGATATTCGGGCATGCGCAAGCCTCCGCTCTTCCGGTAAACTACAGGAAGAAAGAAGTACGGTCCTCTTTGGGGGTGACACTGGAATGTGACGAATCACCTGGACTGGACTCTCTGCCATTCAGTAGGGCAGAGTTTGGAACCATGATGAAGCGTGGGGAAGTATGGCGTACAATCTCATCCTAATTACAAATGCTTGAACGTAAACTGTGCGGGTCGGAACTAAACACAAACACCCTCTGGAATCCCACTGGGACAGGTTCTAGGACAGCACCCCACGCCAGGAACTGAGACTCTCCGGTGTTTGGTAGAAAGTGATGCCTATGGACAGGATTTGCACAGACTCTCCTTAAAGGCGAGCCCATCTCTAGATGACACACAGTACCTGATGTGCAAATAGTGCCATTGAGGGGGGAAGGGGAGGACACTGACAAGGGAAAGCAGGTTTTCATGTTTGGTGACACCAGCAACTTATGAAAACATACTTTTCATGAGTCGTTGAATCCCCAAATGGGGAAACCTGTAAATGAAGGGAACACGGTAAGAAATGAGGTGGCACCTTTACCGTGGACCAACTAAAGGCTTCTGTCCCCGGCATCAGGTCTTGAGCTATCAGAGGACTCTTCTAGGGTTGTTGGTCCATACAAGTTCACCAGGACCCACAAGATTTGGAACTGCACAGCGTCTGGCCCGACATTATCCATCAATAGGCAACAGACTAGGTCTATTATTATTTCCTGGACAGGGGACTGTTATGCCCAAATCTGCAAAGTCCCCCAAAAGCCAACAAGGAGACCAAGTCCCATATGTAAAAGCAAAGAGCCTTTATTTTATGCAAGTTTACAAACTCTGTCTCTTGGCGTAACCAACATATTGGAATAAACGGAGAGCCCCAAGCTCAGTTAGAGTAGGATTTTTATAGTAGTAAAAGTGAGGGGTTTCTGAGGTTCAGGACCCCTGATTGACTGACATCTGTCTAGGGGTGTCCTGGTGAGTGTGCTGGCAGGTGATCCACAGCGGTTGGAATGTTAGGCATTTCCTTTGAATGGTCTGTTCTTGGGTGGTGGTCAGGTAATCTCAGTTTATGGTCCTTCCTGCAACCAGGTATTGCTTCAGGGTAAACTACTGAGACTCAGGCCTCTATTAAATTTATCGATGGATGGCTGAGTCCTACTCTGGCAGGTGATAATGGTTGGGAGTAAAGAACTTCCTTTAGCTTATCATGGCTGGCTCCTACAGGGACATAGCTTAGTACCTAAGGAACAGTCTAGCATGTAAAAGGCCCTAGCTCTGATCTACAGAACCCCCTCCCCAGCATTCAGTAAACTGAGGCAGGAGGTTGGCTGGTACAAAACCAACTAGGGCTACATAGCCAGATCAAAAACAGACAAAACACCCTAAAGTACTTTTTTTTTTATTTTCATTTTTTTAAATGGAGCATCATAGCACTGCTTATCAACTGTGTATCCCCACATCCCAGAGCATCCCTGAGCGCCACTTCTGACGCCTGGCACTGCGTGGTCGTGACCGCTCCACTGTATGACGTGTGTTGGGGGGCAGGGAGCATCCCATCCTGGTCTTAATTTGAATTTCCGGTATCACTAAGGCTTTCCACAAACCTGCCGTCCTCATACTTACTAGCTTCCCTGGTTCTGCCTTCCCTCTGTCTGCTCATCGTCAAGAGTCCCAAAGAACGGTGAAGGGGACTTGACAGATGGAAATGATGTTACTAGGATTAGCCAGTTCCATTCAGCAGTCCTTGAACCTTCATGGGAGCACCTGGATTGCTGCGGCCACTTACACTGCTTTCTCTCCTGCTTCCACAGCAATACTTTGTGCCCGGAAATAGAGGAAGAGTCAAGAGCAAAAACACGTGTCTCTCACTGTGATGGTTACTCTCCGTTGTCAACTTGACTACATCTGGAATTAACTAAAACCCAAAAATGGAGAGGCAAGCCTGAGAGGGATTTTTGCTTAATTTGAAGTGGGATGATCCACGTCTAATCCTAATCTTTGAAGTGGGAAGACCCACCTCTGATCTGGGTCACACCTTCTCCTGGAAACCTATATAAGGACACGGAAGAAGGATGCTTGTTCTCTTTGCCTGCTTGCTCTCATTCTCACTGACAAGTCCATTCCTTCACTAGCTTTAGAGCCTACACCTTCAGGATTCTGTCATATACTGAAGGCCAGCTGAGATATACAGATTCATGGACAGAACAAGTACGGAACCTTCTGTTCCTAGGCAGCCATTTTTGGATTAGCAGGACCATAGCCTGTGAGTCATTCTAATGAGTGTCCTTTCTATATATAGCGAGAGATTCATTCTCTAAGTTTTGTTTCACTAGAGAATCCGACTAATATACACAGCTTCTCTAATGAAAGCTCAAGGACGTAATTTAAAACTCCATCTGCAGGACTGGGTAGCAGAGCCCTTGGCTAGACGTCTGTGAGGCCCTGGATTCCACTGCCTACTCCAGGTTTTGGGAGGAAGCCCTTTCCAGCTGCAGATCCGTAATAGTCTACAAAGAAAACTGCAAATTCAGACATCCGGATTGTCTCCTGTAAACAGAATATATGCATTCTTAAAAAGAACAGAACCAGGCTGGAGAGCTGGCTCAGAGGTTAAGAGCACTGACTATTCTTCCAGAGGTCCTGAGTTCAATTCCCAGCAACCACATGGTGGCTCACAGCCATCTATAACCACATGGTGCCCTCTTTTGGCATGCAAGCATACATGGAAGGAATGTTGTATACATAATAAATAAATAAATCTTAAAAAAAAAAAAAAGAACAGAACCAACAGGATGTGATCTGTGTGTACACATGTACCGTCTTAGTTAGTGTTCTATGGCTGTGAAAAGACACCATGACCAAGGCAATATATACAAGAAAGCATTTAATTGGAGGCTTGCTTACAGCTTCGGGGAATTAGTCCATTATCATTACAGCAGGGAGGCATGGTGCTGGAGAAGTAGCTAAGAGCTACATCCTAACCAGTAGGCTGAGAGTAGAGAGAGACATTGGGCCTGGCGTGGGCTTTTGAAACCTCAAAGCCCACCCCAGTGACATATCTCCTCCAATAAGGCCACACCTCATAATCCTTCCCAAACCATTCCAATTACTGGGGACCAAGCATTCAAACAAATAAACCTATGGGGCCATTCTTGTTCAAGCCCCCACAGACTTGGGGTCATATCATAATGCAAAATGCATTTAGTCCAAGTTCAAGAGTCCCTGTAATCTTGCAGTCTCAATAAAGTTTTTTAAAGTCCAAAGTCTCTTCTGAGACTCAAGGCAATCTCTTAACTGGAATCTCCTATAAAATCAAAAAGCAAATTACATACTTCCAACATTCAATGGCACAGGATATACATTACCATTTCAAAAGGGAAGAAAGGGGGGCATTGTGAGGAAATACTGGACCAAAGCAAGACTGAAACACAGGTGGGCAAACTCCAAACTCTGCCTCTTCACATCTGATGTCAAAGGCTCTTTGGATCGCCAACTCCTTCCAGTTTCATTGACAACCTCACACCTGTCTCTTGGGCCGGTTCCACTCCCTGTTAGCAGCTCTCCTTGGCAGGTATCCCACCGCTCTGGCATCTCCAACATCTTGGAGTCTCCAATGTAATCCAGACATTGCCTCCACAGCTTCACACAGTCATCGCTAAGGGTCTCCATACAGAGAGACCCTTGCCCCACTCCTGGTCTCTGCGGCTTTCTCTAACTACAGAGGAACCACTGTCCCTTTCCTGTATATTCCTTGATTAAGCTAGAACTTGATAAAGCTTTGTGGCCAAAGCTGCTATATTCTTCTGCTTGCTAGAGCTGTAACCTTTCCCCACCTCCCCACCCCCCCACCTCCCCACCCCCCACCCCGTTTGATTTTCATTTGCATAAGCTTTCCCTTATTGTTTTTGTTGTTAATGCTGTTGTTGTTGTTGTTGTTGTTGTTGTTGTTGGGAGCCTAGGAAATACCTTGGGCCTTTTCTTTCACAGGTTGCAGGATTAGCTGGGTGTGTCCTGCCCTGAGGTTACCATTTAGAAACAAGCCTTTTTTTTTTTTTTTTAACAACCTGAGCACAGAACTTGGCTCCCACATTACACTTTCTGGTGTTCTCTTTCTTCTCAAACTGTACATTTTGTGTTTCTCATTGTAGATTGCAAAAGAATGGTCACTAATGACCACATGACACAGTCGATACTAGGCAGTCTTGAAATCTCCTCTGCCAAGAGTAGCCATACAAAACTCTTCAACTATGCCCAGGCAGATTTTTAAAACAAGGACAAAAAGCAGTCGCATTCTTTGCCAAAATAACACAAGAATGATCTCTAGGCCACCTGCTAATAGTTCTTCCCCAGAAACATGATGAGCTGGGCCTACACAGTTCCACATCATCTTCAGCATCACTGTCCTCCACGCTCCTACTAGGATGGTCCATTAAGCCAGGCTTAAAGCATCCAACCACTTTTCTTGTACAAAGTCCCAGAGTCTTCCATATTCCTCCAACAAACAGCATGGTCAGGCTTGTCACAGCAATACTCCACTCCTGGTGCCAACTGCTGTCTTACTCTTCTATTGCTGTGAGAAGACACCATGACCAAGGCAACTTATACAACAAAGCATTTGGTTGGGAGCTTGCTTATAGCTTCATTACCATCATGATATGGAGTGGGATGGCAGGTAGGCAGGAATAATACCAGAGAAGAAGTAGCTGAGAGCTTTATATCCTGATCCACAGGCAGCAGACAGAGAGAAACTAGGCTTGTCATGGACTTGTGAAACTTCCAACCCCACCCTACTCCATCCCCACTGACACACTTTCTCCAACAAAACCACACCTCCTTCAGCAAACCTTCCCAAACAGTTCTACTAACTGAGGACCTAACATTCAAATATATGTGTCTGTGGGGGCAGGGGAGGAATTCTCATTCAAACCACATAGATAGATAGATAGATAGATAGATAGATAGATAGATAGATAGATAGATAGATAGATAGATGTAGATAGATAGATAGATAGATAGATAGATAGATAGATAGATAGATAGATGTAGGTAGGTAGATAGATAGATAGATAGATAGATAGATAGATAGATAGATAGGCAGAGAGACAGAAAGATAGATGATAGAATAATTTAGTAGGTCAGCTTTAGATAGAAACAATAGCAGGGTACCAGCTAAGAACTGAGAACCAGTAGTTACTCAGTCCCTGAGGCTGGTATCTCGGCAGTAAGAGTCCCACAATGGCTGTCTCTCATTAAATGGGGGGCTGGTAATTTCTCAGTCCACAAGGCTGAGTACCTCAGCAGTCCCAATGTCCAATTTGGTGTTTGAGACCTAAAAGGTTCCTGGGGAAACATTGGTCCTTAGTCCACAACGAAAGCCTGGAAACCCTGGTGCTGCTGGCCATGATGGAATTAGCAGCAGCAACAGCAACAATGGGCAAATCCACTCAGCCACAGGAGGGAGGCCAAGTGAGCGGATGGCAAATGGTCTTCTTTCTACCATGCCCTTTTTACCTCTGCACATGGCCCGGCTCTGAGTCCATTTCCACTAAGAGATCCCTTCACACGGCCCCATGCATACCATATTCCTAGGGAGCGGAAGCCATTTTACTTTACAGAGCATATTTTCCCTACCCCAGCACTTCTTCAGACTCCCTCAGCCCAGAGCCTAAAAGGTGAGCAGAGATAGGTAGGACCCAGAGACACTGTCTCCAACACCAGAGACTATTCAGGGCTACTTCAAACCCTCAGGCTCAGATGCTGATGAAGCCGGATGAACCTCTGAGGAGTTAGGAGCTGGCCGCGCACGCTTCTGCCACGGCTCACCAGCCAGCCCAGCGACTGCCACTGTCCTCTTGGCTCCCTTGGCCTCCGTCTCATCCCAGGAGGGTCTCGGGGGCATCCCAGCTTCCTCCTCTCTTCTGACACTTTCTGGGTCACTCTGTGTCTCCCGTTCTTCAGCGATCCACTCCTGAAATCAGACAGTAAGCCAAAGGCGTTCACCTCAAACATTCTGATGAGGTCATCCTGGACAATACTAGACAAGAAGGGTTTAGGCTGACCTGACTGGGTTGGTCCCTATACTTCCTGCTGAGATTAAAGGCGATAAGCCGTGTTCGAACATACCAGCTAGCCACAGGGAAATGACATTTTGGCATGGGTGCACATATTAACTGGAAGAACCCAAAGGACATCCCAGCCAAGACTCGAGTAGGTCAGAGCAGAGCAAGGAAGCCGTGCAGTCGGCCCCAGCATTTGAGGGATGAACGGATTCAATTAAACACAAGTCAGACTACTCCAAAGCAGCTCAGGCCACACTGGGCATGCATGCCCACACTTCTCATATCATTACCCTCCACAGTACTGAACATCGATTTATGTGATATTTATACTGCACTGGGTGCCCAGGTCATCGAGAGCTGAAACCACGTGCATGGGAGGATGAGTCAAACAAGGACACCATTTTACAGGGGGGACTTGAGCATCCAACTTAGGGCATCCAAGGAGGGTCTTGAAACCGGCTTCCACATGGGATAAAACCAGACTCGCTGAACATAGCGGACAATAAGGACTGCTGAGAAGTCAAGAACAATGGCACTGGGTTTTGATCCTACTGCACGTACTAGCTGTGTGGGAGCCTAGGCTGTTTGGATGTTCACCTTACTAGACCTGGATGGAGGTGGGTGGTCCTTGGACTCCCCACAGGGCAGGGAACCCTGATTGCTCTTTGGGCTGACGAGGGAGGGGGAGTTGATTGGGGGAGGGGGGGGGGAATGGGAGGCGGTGACGGAGAGGAGGCAGAAATCTTTAATAAATAAATAAATGATAATAACAAAAAATAAAATAAAGAAAAGCAAATGAACAAAAAAGAAAGAAAGAAAGGAAGGAAGGAAGGAAGGAAGGAAGGAAGGAAGAAAGAAAGAAAGAAAGAAAGAAAGAAAGAAAGAAAGAAAGAAAGAAAGAAACCAGCTTCCATAGACACCACGACACAACTCTACACTGAAAGGGGGCCGTGAGTGTCTGTGCTGTTTGTTTGCTCATTTGCTTGCTTGCTTGGGATGGAGTCTCAGTGTCCAGGCTGTCCTTGAACTCTCCATGAAGCTAAGAATGACTGATCTTCCTGTCTCTACTTCCTTAGGGTTGGACTTCCAGGTGTGAACAACCATACCCAGTTTCTACAGAGCTTCAAACATGCTGGGCAAACCTCCCAGGCCTCGCTTAACTGGGGTTATTCCGTGTGAATGAAGCAGCTTGCACAGATTATTAAATGGAAATCCTGGTGCTAGCGATAGGCTGCTCCGTATGGGATACTCTGTATGAGTTACAGGACAGGGAGGACCCAGAGGTTCCAGAACAGAGTTATAGGACAGGAAGACAGCAGGGGTTCCAGAACAATATAGGCTACTGTACCGTGACTGGTTCCCATCAGAACTACAGGACAAGATCTACTGCTGAAAATACCATGTGTTCTTGCCAAAGGATAACAGGATATCAAGCTGGAACTAGAAGCCTGCTCCCTGCTGGGCAGCCCAGATGATGTCAAGAGGTGTGACCAGGATGCTGTGGAGAACTGTCCTCGGCGGTCATTCTCAGCTGGGGACTCAGTGTGCTACACCGCCGGATGGGTCCACTGATGAAATAGTGTAATGGCATTTTATTTGTATTTTTAATAAATAAAGCTTGCCTGGGGATCAGAAAAGCAAAACAGCCACACGGGCCAACCTTACAGACCAGGCAGCAATGACACACACCTTTAATCCCAGTAGCCACACTACCTCACCACAGAAACCAGGTGGTAGTGGTGCACGCCCTTAATCCCAGAACTAGAGATTATAAGACGGGAGGAGACGGCTCTCAGTCTCAGTCTCATTCTGAGATTCCTGGAGGCAGGGTCACCATTTTCAGATTGAGATGGAAGGAAGAGCCAGTGGCTGGCTGTTTTGCTTTTCTGACCTTCATTTGAACTCCAATTTCTGTCTCTGAGTTTTTATCAAACATGCTAAATAACAGTGCCAAGTCTGCTATGGCCAGTTGCTTTGGGACTGGATGTGAAGCCTGACCTACAGGAGCAAATTCACGTCTTGCACTGTAAAAAGGGGAAGCCACTGAGGCTGCTTTCCTGAATGGGCATGATTGCCTGTTCCAATAACCATGGGGTGCTGCTGCTGTTAGTCTTGATCAAAAATATCTTCACCTTGAGAGTGGCCGGTGCTGACTATGGAGACCCACAAGTAGTCAATGTCAACGTACTGAGAGTGAGTGACAGACATGTGCTCCACCTCCAATGTGACATCCTACCACCCCTCCAAGGCTCAGGAACATCGCGGGACAGAGGACAGAAAGAAGGCACCAGCCGGTGGGAGAGATAGATTGCAGTGGGATGATGTCTTCCAGGCAAGGCATGGCCACGGCACTCTTGAATTCAGCAGCTCTGAGCACCTGCCCAGAGCCTATGGAAGACCAGGCCTCTCAGCATCCCATGATAGCAGCAGAATGGGCTCGTGAGGCCCCGTCCCTCCCTGAGGTTCTATAGGCAGCTACTGGTTGAAGGAAGTGGTGTAGCCGATAGGTAAAAGTAGGACCAGTCAGGGAAAGGAAGAGGGCCAGTGGGAGGGGAGAGGGCAGACAATGGCTATTATCAAAATATATATTGGGAGATATTATATAAAACTCTTTGAGTATGATTCATATATACCAATGTAATTTTTTTCTCTTTCTTTCTTCCTTCCTTCCTTCCTTTCTTTCTTTCTTTCTTTCTTTCTTTCTTTCTTTCTTTCTTTCTTTCTTTCTCTGTCTCTCTCTTTCTTTTTTATGTTTTCCAGACAAGGTTTCTCTGTGTATCCCTGGCTGTCCTGGAACTCAGAGACCCACCTACATCTGCCTCCTGAGTCCTGGGATTAAAGGCGTGTGTCAACATCACCCAAGGCCAGTGTATTTTTTAAGCTGGCATTCTGCCTTTGAGTGTGCAGACATTCCCAGACATACACGCGTACATTCAAATGCTCCAGAACTCCTGCTGGTTCTTTTAAAAAGAAGTTTTAAAACTCAGTGACCAGAAGAAGCCAACTACTATATTCTCTGCTTGGAGCCCTGGCAGAGCCCTAGGTTAGCCCAGCATCTGCCAGCAGCTGAAGGAAACAAGAGCCCCTTTCTGCCAGGCAACAAGCGCCAATGCTTGCCCATGTACAGCTTTCGAGGATGATTCAAGATTTATCGGAATATCTTATGCCTCTGCAGAATCTTCTATCGCCAAATAATCGGCATAACAAAATGAGCATCGTGGCGTCTCATATACAAGAGTTAGGTTTGAGAGCGGACTCTTAAGGATTTAATAGCACAATCTGGTGCACATAGGGGCTGGCTTCAGGGAAATCTCCAAATTTTATCAAATATGGAACACCAAGATACTAAAAAGGACTCTGTAACCTTCCTTTCCCCCCAAGACTGGAGGATGCAAAGACCTAACACCATCTTCCTCTTTCTAGCAGCCACACTGGGGAGGCAGGAGGGATAAGCAAGGTAGATTCGCCTTGTTTTTGTTCTGGTCTGTAGCCAAATTCCAGATTCAGTTTTGGTTTTTGTTTTTTTTTTTTTTTTTCACTAATTCTCTAACGATATTGGGGGTCAGGTTCCTAGTTTTCGTCTGACTTCATTTACGTTTGTCTAGCTGAGAGCCTGGATCACAAAGAGTCTAACTATAAAGACTTCTTACCCCATTCCCTTTATCCCAAGACAGGGAAATTTCTGGCATTTAGTCAGCATCAGCATGGCCCGCTGCCAAAGAGGAGCACATGGCCCAGGTGTCCAAGGAGCTGCCAGGCAGTCACTAAAAAGACCAAGGTGGTCGCTGGGAAGACAGGAAGGCTGTGGAATGACGCATTGATACTGTACCTTATGGCTTTCTCCGTGATCAAATTGTGTGCGTCCATCACCCTGAGCAGTCTGCCCCGGGCTGTTTGTGTCCTCTTCAGAGCATTTAGGATGCACTGTGGTCCCTAAACAAGAGAAGAGGATTTGCAATGGGGCTAGCACCAACGCTCAGGACCCCTCCCAACACACTGCTCCCCACTCCATCTTCCTGATCCCCACTTTGACTTCAGCACTCCCCTGCGGACAGCAGCGAAGTGTCAAGGGCTACAAAGTGTCAGATGGCTGGGGGCTGGGAATGGAACTCCGCCTAGGACAGTGCTCGGCATGCCCAATGCTCTCTGGCTTCAACCCTAGCATCATATAAACCATGTGTGGTGGTACACCCCTGGAATCCCAGTATTTAAGAGGAGGCAGAAGGACCAGAAGTTCCAGGTCCTCGCCAGCAGCACAGCAAGTTCGAGACCAGCCTGGGCTACATGAGTCTGTCTCAAAAAAAGAATCAAAATGGTGGCTCTACTCAAGCGCTTTCCAGTGCAAGGGGGAAAGAATATCTGTTGTTCCGAGCATTTTCCAAGGTCCTCGCTGCTCAGGGCTGTCTTTACTCACAGTTAACTTAATGCTCTGCCCTCACTCGCTGCTAAGTCAGAACTAATTTGGAAAGGGTGACCTCCCTGTCCCATACACAGACCCACACCCTGAAATCAGTGTGGGTCTTGACAGTCCTCTGTGGGGGAAGATAAAATGCAGTGTTTTACATTTGAGCTGAAGGTATGCCTGTGTTGCCTTTTGACTACACAGTAAACAGGTCATGCTGTTGTTACCTATGTAAGTATATTTGTAAATGCTCAGATAACTGCAGAAATGAGCAAAATTTGGTTTGGCGACAATTTAACTCTAAGCATCTGAAGACCCTTCAGTACACTTCATCTCTCCCTAGTCTAGCTTCTGTGTCATACAGGAGTAACTGCCCATGGGACTTCATAGTTTATAAGTGAGGGCAGAACCTTCATCAGCCTTGTCCGCTGACTCTCTAGTGCCTGAGAAAGTGCCTGCCTGGACCGTGAACTGTTGTCAAATGAAAGAAGCACAAAACAATGGCTGGGTGGATGGAGCAGATGCACACATACATCCTCAGACTTCCATCATTCCTGATATTTTTTTAATTTATTTATTATATATACAATATTCTTTCTGCATGTATGCCTGCAGGCCAGAAGGGGGCACCAGACCTCATTACAGATGGTTGTGAGCCACCATGTGGTTGCTGGGAATTGAACTCAGGACCTTTGGAAGAGCAGGCAATGCCTTTAACCACTGAGCCATCTCCCCAGTCCCATTCCTGATATTCTTACATGCTATGAGATAACTCATGCTAGTGAGATCAAATGCTTACTCGTATCTTATTCCTAACCAATGAATGTCCCATAGGTTTTTAGTTTTCATTTGTACACCCCAGCCACAGTTTCCCCTCCCTCCTCTCCTCCCAGTCCCCTCTCTGTACCCCACCCCCTTCACTCCTTTTCCTCTGTTTCTCTTCAGAAAAGGGCAGACCTCCTATAGATACTGGCCAGCCGTGGTATGTCCAGTTGCAGTGAGACCAGGCACGTCTTCTCCTATTAAGCCTGGATGAGGCAACCAGGTAAGAGAAAAGGCTCCCAAAAGCAGGTAACAGAGACAGAGACCGCCCCTACCCTCACTATTAGGAGTCCCACAAGAAAGACAAGCTACACAACTGTAACATATACGCAGAGTGCTTAGATCAGTCTCATGCAAGCTGCCTGGTGTTTGGTTCAGTCTCAGCGAGCCCCTATGAGTCCGGGTTAGTTGATTCTGTGGGTTTTCTTGTGGTGCCCCTGATACCACTGGGTATCCTCCCACCCCCCGCTTCCACAGAATTTCCCCAAGCTCTGTCTAATATTTGTCTATGCGTCTCTGCATCTGTTTCTATCAGTTGCTGGCTAAAGCCTCTCCGATGATAGTTGGGCTAGCACTACTCTATGAGTGTAGCAGATTTTTTTTTTTCCAGTCCTGTTATTTGGTTCTATCCTAGGTCTCTGAGTTATCCTGCCTCTGGGTCCTGGCCCTCTAAACAGTGTCAGGGGTAAGCTCTCTTTCATGATATGGGTCTCAAGCATAGTTTTCTTTTAACACACTAGTTGGAAAGGTACGAATCTGGGAAGCCAGACGTTCATCCATAATGAGCGCCTGCCGCAGTTCAGGGCCGCAATGTGAAACAACGGCCACTAGAGGGAGCCATAAAACCTGCCACAGAGCAACGTTCAAGAAAAACCGGCTCTGCAGGTTGATTTGACTCTCCACACTCCCGGCCACACTGATCACCATAAAATTGTTGTTGTTGCTACTGCATTGTGTGTTGTGTGGCTAATGAGAACAAGCTGAAACAAGCCTAGGGCTCCAGTTTGCTGGCCCTCGCTCTTAGAAAACAGACCCACTTTCCCCTCAAACAATTCACATCTCTATATATATAACACATCTAGGGTTTTGTTTTAGGTAAGCGTAAGTGAAAGAAAATCACTTTTCCCGTGGATGACAAGGGAATCCATGATAAATTAATCTTGGAAAAGAAAACTGTGAACTTTTAGAAAGAAAAAATAATTTTTGGAGCCATATGCAATATTTCCCACCTCCAGTAACTTTGTTTTTTTTTTTTTTTCCAAAAGAACATTTCCTTGTTGACATATTCAGTTTCATCCCCTGCAGTAAAGAGACTCCAGGCATGTGCAGACTGACTGGGAGATCACATCAGAAGGAATTATGATCCTATCGGTCGAGTTTCAAAGGTTTTCCCATGTAAACTGAGAACAGGGAAAAACTGCATTTCCCACAAACTTCTCTCAAAGGGTCTGGGGAAAAAAAATCTAAAAATTCCCAGGGTCATTACAAGTCACAGATGTTATCAACAGCCAGGGTCGTGCAAAATTTAAAAAGACCCACAAATGAAGGTGCTTCACACACACAGATCCGCCAGCATTTGCATGGGGTCCAATGGCTCTCCCTTTGCAAGGTGCCTGTTCAGGACTTCTCCAAAGTCAGAAGCCACCGACTCCTTGGGGACACCTGCTCACAAGCCCATTCCCACCACGCACAAAGTGGCAGGGGCCCTTTAAATCTGTGGTTCTCAACCTGCGGTCAAGACCCCTTTGGGGCCACGTAGCTGAAATCCTGAATATCCTAACAGTGTGAGAATTGCAGCTATGCATAGCAATGACCTCATTTTATGGCTGGGGGTCGCCACAACATGAGGAACTGGATTAAGGGGTCACAGTGTTAGGACGGTTGAAAGCCACTGGTCAAAAATAACAGCCTGGGAACCCAGAGGAGGACACTGAAAACGAATCAGGGTTTAAAGAATGAAAAGACCCTTAAATTTTTTTTTTCTCAAAAAAAAAATACAGAATTTGAGTAACCTAATTATAGCCTAATTATAACGACGATTCTTGTTGCTGCAAAGGACTTCTGGAACATTCTCTGTGAAGGTCCTCTCATTGGCTGTTTGTTAAGTGGGACCTGGTGACTCTCAGAGTGGATTAAAGTGACAGGTTTGGCATCTGATTTCCAGACCAGCTTCCTCCGACCAGACCACACAGACTCCTTCCTCACTCTTGAAATAAACCCCCGGTGGAATTCTCCATCAGGAAGCCATCTCCCCAACTAAGCCAAAGCTTCCTTCTCCCCGCCCAGCCCCTCTGACCAGGCGGCGTCCACATTCCGATGCGCATCTGCGGTTTCCACTCTCAGCCAAGGCACAGCAGCGAAACTGGACCCTCATTTGTGAAGCTAAAAAAACCTGTGCGGGAGGGATGGCCAGCCCCATGCCCAGAGGCACAGGCTGGTTTCCCTTCCCTCCCAACACAATGCCACAGGGCAAGTCGCTTAACTGCCTCATTAGGGTCACAGTCACAGGCCTGCCAGCCTCCTTCCCTGGCACTGCTTCTCCTCATTAATATCTGTAAGGGCCCATTAAGCCTTGCAGCTGAGGGGAGCCATTAAGGCAAGACCTATCACTATTACCATCCATAAGGTCCCAGGCGCTCGCCTGTCAGCAGCTGAGTTGAGGCAGTCGCCCAGGTAGAGAGGCAGCCTACACCTCCGGCCCATCGGCCCCTAATGAGACACCAGCTTCTGCAGAAACATCCCCATGAATGTGACGGGTGCCCACGTCACAGAAAGGGGAAAAGGCACTGCTTTAACTGAGAGCAGTGCATTTAAACTGCTGGAAGCTTATCTCCAGGGTACAAGCGGCACCTGTGGCTGGAATGTCCCAGCACCTAAGCCCCCTACCCTGACCCTTCCATGGAACCTGTAATATGAAATCTCCCCCCACACACACTGTGGAAGTCAGAAAGCCACCTGTAAATCCCGGGACAAGCATGTTCGCATCCCGCTCTGCCCATCTGAGTGTCCTGCCTCCCTTGGGGAAGCTCCATCAATCCCCTACCTTGCTCCCCAGAAGATTCCTCTATCCGAACCTCACTGACAAGCCGGGGCACTGTCTGGAACCCACGGGAACTTAGGACAGCGGGGATCAACAGGAGATAAACAGTAAGTCCGCAGGGCATCATAGCCAGCTGCCTTTAAAAAGGATAAAGATGGCCACCGCCTCATGAACTCACAGCAACTGAACTGTACCAGATCAAGCTAGCCAAAACCAGCACAGATGAAGGAGGAGCTGACCAGGCCCCAGCTGTAGCCGAGAAGCCACTGGAGGTTAGTTGGCTGGGGAAGGACAACCATCTTGGTGGCCACTTGGAGATACCCATGCCCTAGCGGTCCACCCCACACCCAATGACATACAGGAAGCACTGACTGGATGCAGTGAAATATAAAAATTTTTACAATGATTTTAAAAAGAGGATGTGAAGTTAGGAAGGATGGATTTCATCATAAGGCATTGTGTACGTGGATGAAATCCACACAAAAAAGTAAATAATAATAATAATAATGAGCTGATATGGGGCTAACATGAGGTGGCTCGGTCAGCAAAGTGTGCGCTGTGTAAGCATGGAGATCTGAGTTCGAATCCTCAGCACCCATGTAAAAGTCAGGCATGACTTACTCTGTAAGTCCAGCACAAGGACAGGAGGGGGAGAATGTTCCTGGAGCTCACCGGCCAGTCGGTCTAGCTGCGAGTATCAGACTCACCGAGAGACCTTATCTCAAACTTTAAAATGGACAACGACAGAGGAAGACACCCAATATTAACCCCTGGCCTCCATGTATATATGCACACACCTTACAAACGTGTACCACACATGCATGTGCACACAGTGATTTACACAGCACTAGGCAACATTGCATGTGGCCATGGACACGGCCTGCACACAAGGATGGATGGGGCTATCACAGCAAACCCTAGTCATCTTTGGAATTCTCAGCCATATGCATGTTACTCCCTCAAAATAACAGAGAGGAACAGAAGATGATTTTTGTAGATGTTCATGGTCTAGCAGTCTTCACAGTGGTTTCATTAGCAGTTGATCTATGCAGTGGTCTATCTGTTTAGGTGGAAGCCCTACTGGCATCCATATATACCCAAAACGAATGTTTGGGATCTCTAGTTTGGGGCCCCACTCCACACTGGGGTCTCACTCCTCCCATTCCAAACCCCACCCTCAGTGAACCAAGAGGCGGCCCCTCCCCTAGAGCTGCTCTCTTCAAACTCCGCCCCTGAGAAAGTCTGCCAAATCTCAGCCCCTCCTTGGAGCTGCTCAAGACCACACCACTTTGACTTGGTAGCCATCTTTGCCACGCGATTCCTCTTCTGCCCTCCTGAGGGTCACCCAGAGTTGCTTTGTTCTGTTCATTAAACCTGGATTTAATAATTTGGTTTGATTAGCTTAAGACATCAGTGGCAACAGATTTCCATTAACGGGGATTCAAAACCTTATCACTACCTAGTAGTTGGTCTTTGTAGATGCTTATCTAGTAGCAGTTTTCGTAGTGGTCTATCTAGTAGTTGGTCTTTGTAGGGGTCTATCTAGTCTAATTGGAAAAGTGGGGGCCATGAGAGAGCTTCCAGTTCCAGAGCTGAGGAAGATCTTTTGGAGTCATGCAGATGAGAAGGTCATGGATGAGAAACACAGAACAGATGCCCAGCTGGGTCTCCACCCCTCCTTTGTTTGGCTACATACTCAAGACAGCAACATCTGCATGAATCAGACTCAGTCCGTGGAAGAGAAGCTGTCCCCATGTGTGGCAGCTACAGGTGCTAAAGCAGATGTCCATTCCACTCACCGTCTTGAGGTTGTGGCTCCCGAAGACAAACCTTGAGCCAGATGTTGGCGCGCTGGCCCCAGGCCCCTGGGGGCTCCACCTCCCACAAGCGCCCTCTCTCGCATGGATGGATCGACAGGAACCGCCTGAGGACTGGGAGGAAGAGAGGCAAGGCTTGAGCCTGACTCTGGCCCACCCTGCTTCAGCCAATCAGCTCTCTCTGGACCCTTGCATCCGGCCCTTCCAGCCCTTCGGTAGCTACCCTACACCTCACTGTCCTGACCCTGCTGCACCCAAACCCCTTCCACCAACTTTTCATGGGTACAGAATCATCCTGTTCATCTCCCACCCCCACTTCCAACCATCATGCACTGCGCTCCAGGGCTGCAACTATGAAATAGCCATCCCTGGGTATCCAAAGGTAGTGAAGACCTCTGAAGGCACCAAATCCAAGGATGCTGTATTTACATAAAACGTCAGGCGTGATGCTTGCATGGGCAGTAACACATCTTCCTGTGCACGCTCCATCATCAGGATGTCTTTTGGTAGCTGATGCTGTGGAGAGGCCACATCGAGAGCCACCAGACTGTGGTGCTTAGGGGATGAGGTCAACGGGCAGATCCGTGCTTGTCCAGTACAAGCGCCACTTTTTAATGCTTTCAAGCCATAGTCGGTTTCAGTTCTGGAATCAGACCCCTCAGATATGATGGGCTGCCAGTACCATGGCAACACAAGCTGATTTCTCAAGGCTCTGGAGGCAGGGTACCTGGGGTTGGGTTGTTCCGAGGCCTCTCCCCGACCTACCTGTGTGCCTTCTCAGTGTCCCCACACGGTCACGTCTGTGTGTATCCCTAGGGCCTCCTTATACCGGTGCCTGAGATGCCTATGCTTGGCTATCAACTGACTACATCTGGAATTAACTAAAATGCAAATGGGTGGGCGCACCTGTGAGGGATTTTTTTTTTCCTAATGAAATCATTTGAAACGGGAAAACCCCCTTCTAATCCAGATCTCTGTGGTGAGACGATCGATCCACCTTTACTCTGGGCCAGGCCTTCTGCTGGCAGCCCTATATAACGGACATGGAAGAAGGAAGCTTGCCTTCTCTACCTGCCTGCTCTCACTGGCAAGACCACTCCCCCATCAGCATTACAGCATACTTCTTCAGGATTCCAGCACATGTGGAAAACCAGCCGAGACAGCTGAGCCTCATGTGTTGTGGGATTTCCACTGAGTGTGGATTGCATTCGCACTCACATAAAATGAAAAAAAATCCTAAGCGGCACCATGGTGAGTCAGGGCCCAACAGCATTTTCAAATGTAATCGCTTCTCGAGCTCAGAGAAGTCCCCCTTTGCAATCCAACAGGGACCCTGGTTCTGCTGAAGCTGAAAGAGCAGTCAGTCACAGCCGCATCTCCCCAGAAGCTCCGAGACTCCTCCCCTTCTGTGGCCACAGGGCGCACGTGTTAACTGTTAGCTGGCACCCAAATGCTCACCCAGGACATGGGGTGGGGCTTACCTTTGTACATTGCAGGAGAAATTGGGCAACTGATACCCAGGGCTTCATGGTCTTGAAAGGTATCACAGAAGTCCCTCAGCATGGCTGTCCCCAGGCCTTGGCTGCGGTTCTTCCTCCGCACAAACACGGTGTCAAGGACAGGCAGCAGGTAGCATGCACCGGTGCCGTCACCACAGAGGCTGCCTGCAGGAAAGCAAGTGATCTGTGCTATCCCGTGTTGTGTCCGTGTTGTGTACCCCCTCCCGCCCCCCCCCCCGGCTGCATGCTGACTCCCCCAGATCTCAGGGGTCCAGCCAGGAACACTGGTACTACCTGGGAGCAGAATTAACTTCACAAACAATAATAAGATACCAGATCACTCCAGAACACCAATTCTCTAATGGACCCGTGTGTCTTCCTCAAAGACCCACACAATTATTCGCAAGCACAAAAAAAAAAAAATGGATTGGGTCATGGAAATGAAAATGGAGCCTGGGAGACCAAGCATCGCCAAAGCCTTGTGGACCCCACCAGACCTCTCCCCTCACCGAGGCCCTTGGAACCAAAACAGTTTACTGAAGCAACATCCACGTTCTCCCCTCATGGTGAGGCCAGTCCACAGTGCAGGCAGAAGCCAACCGGATCCGTCACTAAGCAAGGGCTTGTGTCAGTTACTTCAATAAAGGCTTATGGTGACCAGTTCTGGTGAAATGCATGTCCTCCAAACACATAAGCCCCACGCGGGAACCGCTGCCGCTGCTGCTGGAGAGGCCAGATGTTGTGCCCTCTCCATTTCCACCTTGAACATCTGTCCTGTAATCAACATCAGCATTCACATGGCTGTCATCCCCGCTCCTATTGAGAGAGGTGAATGCTGTTCCTGTCAAGATTCAGAAAACGAATAACTTCCCAAGCCTGAAAAAAGGAAGATTCAGATTTAACTAGATGGACTAAACTACAAGATATGCAATACAGTGAAAAATTGTGTGTGTGATAGCAGGTGAGCAGAGGTCAAAGGACAATTTGCAGAAGTCCGTGTTTTGCCTTCTACCATGTGAGTTATGGGGCAGCAAGTGCTTTCACCCCCTGAGCCATCTTACCAGGCCCAGAAATCAATGCTTCTATGCTGATCAACACAGGCGCTAAGACAATTCTTTGGGGGAGGGAATACTTTTGGCCTCACATAGCAGTGGAATGATTTGACGCACGAGGTGTGCTACGAGCGAGCAGCACATTTTTAGTGGAAGAAGATGCTCCCATGAACAGGTCAACTCTGATTACATGTCCCTGGCATGCTGAAAAAGCCAACCTGCAGAGGTGATGGAAAGATGCTGGCTGCCGGATGGAGGTAGATGAGCCGATGGAGCATGGAAGACTCAGGACAGACCGCCCTGTATAACACAGAGCATCGGACGCCAGTCTAGATACACAGAGCATCAACACTAAGGATGAGCCCACAGGTACACCAAGGCCATTGGCTAACAATAATGTGATCTCCAGGCTCACCTCTGTCTCCCTAGCATTCACGTGCTTAAGTCCAAACCCTTCGGAACATGTCTGTATTTAGATAGGATGCTATCAAAACATAGAATGGGATTAATCTGAGGCTAATTAGGCTTCGCCCTCATCCAATATGGTTGCTGTCCATATAAGAAGAAATATGGACCAAGAGAAATACAGCGGAGATACACTGTGAGAAGGAGGCTACATGCTAACCAAGGAGAGGTCTCCAGAAAGAACAGACCTGCTCGCACCGAGACAAGGACGTTGCACCTCCAGAACTAGATGAAAACAAATTCCTGTTGCTTGTATCTGAGGGTTGTGTCCTTTGTGATGGCCCACACAAACTAAGGAATGCATCTGTGTTGATTCATGGACCACATAGATGCAATGTGCTAATCATACCATGTTGGCTCCCTTCTGTCAACTTGACACAAACTAGAGTCAGCTGGGAAGAGGGTCTCTCGGTTGAGGAACTGCCTGAATTAGGCTGACCTGTGAGCATGCCCACTGGGACATTTTTGTGTTAATGATTGCTGTGGGAGGACCTAGCCCGCTATGGGCGGTGCTCCACCTACAGAGGAGATCTGAGTACCATAAGAGAGCAGGCTGAGCAGGCCATGGGAGGCAAGCCAGTAAGCAACACCCTGCCATGGCCTCTGCCCCAGTTCCTGCCTTGAGTTCCCTAATTTACCTGGAAGTACAACAGGAAATAAACCCTTTCTTCCCTAAGTCACTCTTGATCATGGGATTTACCACAGAGAGGGAAGAAAAACTAGAACACAGAGGAAATGGGAAAATTACACCAGGAAAACTGCACCTTTGTCTCAATATTTTTCTGTAAATCTAAACCTGCTCTAAAATATAGCTTCTCTCTTTTAATGTACTAGAGGCTGAAGACAATCAGAGTGCTAAGCCCTGTGCTGAGTCCTCCGAAAAGGAGGGTTACTTTTAAAGTATGTTAGCTGCTTTTGTCTGTTTGTTTTTAATTCGAGTTAGACTCTTTTGTTGTGGAATATTAGTTTAAGATGTGTTACATTCGTTTATGCTGTGGAATATCTAATAATGCAAAGATGTGTAGCATTCTTTTCTGTTGCGTTTGTTTAACTCTGTGATGCTGCATTACTTTGCCTGCCTAAAACACCTGATTGGTCTAACAAAGAGCTGAATGGCCAATAGCTAGGCAGGAGGAAGGAGAGCCGGGGCTGGCAGGCAGAGAGAATAAATAGGAGGAGAAATCTGGGCTAGAGAGGGAGAAGAACAGAAAGAACTAGGAGCAAGAAAAGGAGAAGGTGTGGAAGATGCCAGGGGCCAGCCACCCAGCTATATAACCAGCAATGGAATAAGAAGGAAAGAAAGACATAGAATAAAAAAAGATTAAAAAAAAAAAAAAAGCTCAGAGTCAAAACATAGTTAAAGAGAAACAAGATAATTTAAGTTTTAAAAAAAAAAAGGCTGGCTAGAAACAAGCCAAGCTGAGGTTGGGCATGCATAAGTAGGAATAAATCTCCATGTATTTGTTTGGGAGCTGCGTGGCTGCCTCCCCCCCAAAGAGTTAAAAAAAATACACTCTTTTTTCATATCATTTAGAAAAACAAACTAAAAAAAAAACAGATAAAAGGATAAGAGATAAGCTAATAAAGCTCTTAGCAGCACAGAAAATAGAAAAATGTCTTGACAACTTTGAGTTAATGAGGAGCTCGTAGATTCAGCAACAAAGGCAAAGCTGGCTGGCAACTTGAACTTCATCAGAATTCTTAGACCTTTTTCTTCAAAAGACTTTATTAAGGAAAACCAAAGGCCAAGCCATCGGCTGTCAACAGAAATGTTTACAAATCACACTTCCCATAAGATGGCTTACTGAGAACCAGAATAAAGAGAGCTCTCACAATCCAACAAAAATGAATCAAATATCCTCATTAAAATTGCGCAGAGGGCTTGAGCAGACCTTTCTTTAAAGAAGACATTCACATGACTACTGACGAAAACCAGCTAACGTCACTCACAATTAGGGAAATGGAAGTTAAAACCACAGCAAAAGGCCACTCTGGGCTATAACCGGAAGATCAAGGGAGAGTCAGTGACGACAGGGACATGCAGAAATTGGAGCCCTCACATGTGGTCAATGGAAGTGCGTGCACAACGGTGCAGCCAGGCTGCGCGGCCACTTGGCAGTTCCTTTAAAAGATAGGCATGATCTTGCCAAATGACCCAGCAATTGTACTCCTAGGAGCCGACCCAAAAGGAAGGAAAACACTCTCGTGCAAACAAGTAAAAGAATGTTTATAGCTGCCCTATTCATAGTAGTAAGACCTGGAAACAATCCATCAACTGGTAGGTTCACAAGTGAAGTACAGCCTATTCACAAGGCAGAGTCTCGTGACGGGAAAGAGAAACAGAGAGCATACGCAAGCCATGATCTGTAGTAGCTCCAAGACACTTCCCTAAGTGAAAGCTGACTGCTACAACACTTGGTCCATGCTAATTGGCAGAGGAGGAGGCAACTCAGCTATTGCCTAGGGCTAGGATGGAGACAAATGACAGCAGACACCATCCACTGTGGTGACCGGAATGTCCCAACACGGGGTTTTGATCATCATTACCGTTAAAGTCACTACAGTCCCTGAATTCTACACTTTTGGTAGGCAATCTCTAAATCCCTGAAGTTTATACTTATTGTCGGCAAATTTTATAGGCTCTATACTGCAATAAAGTGTATCTTAAAAGACACAGTGCAAGCATGCGCAACAAGGCAACTCAGGCTACAGCTATCTACTATATATTCTGTAAGAGAAGCTTGAGGGCTCCCAACACAGAGTGGCAGATGAACCCAGACTGGATCATAATGCATGCATACACTTTCTCAAATCATCATACTGCGCCTCATAAATATGTAAAGTTACATGTCAGTGTAAAAAGGTACAATGAACTAATAGGGGCAGACATCTATACCCCCACTGTGGCACACGATCAAGTACATCCCTCCGGCCCATGCCCACGCATGTACACATAGACAAATTCGTAAAACAGCTTTAAGAATAAAATATCAGGAGGTGGGATTTGAATGGAGTAAGGAGGTCATGGAACAGGTCCTTTGGAAGGCTCTATCTTGTCTCTGGGGTCTTCCTATCTCTCTCGTTCTACTTTCAGGCTGTCACGCTCATCAGCACACGATGCTACACTCTGGCCACTATCCCTTCTTCACCCTCACAGTTGGCTTCATGGCTGGCTAAAGCGGTGGAACCAGATGATCTTGAATGGGTGAGCCGAAATAACCCATGCCTTAACTCAGGAAGGGAACAATATTATCATCAATCCTGACTGGTATCACCACCAAACACAGAGCAGTTTTATCACCAATCCCGGTGTTGACATCATACACCATAGGCTCCAACACGTGACAATAGGCTGCTCCACCTCCCCCAAACCATAACCATATATTAGGATAGAAAGACCAATGGAAGAAGCCAATAATAGTCTTGCCCAGTCTGTCTATGTTACATTATGGTAAGTGACAGGATCAGAAATCATTGATTAGTGTTCCACAGAGCAATAGCCATCCTCAGCCTAATTCCTTCCATGACTTAAAAATCATCCCACACCTAACACACCAGGCTCAGGTGATTTTAGCGATACAGTCTACCAAACTTGCAAACCTCCCTGCAAGAAAAGAAAAGAGCATTCCCCAAAATTATGTGCAGTGT